TTGCAAAGCGCTGCACGTATAATTTTAGAAGGGGGTTTTAGCACACTGGTAATAACCTACTGGAGCTCTAGCATTTAGGGAATGCAGTGAGAGGAGCCTTTTCCAAAAGGGCCAGAGAATGATCTCATTTCTCTTCTCCCAGCACTCCTCTCTGCTCCCCCTTGGTCTTCCCCGGCTGTTAATCTAGGCAGACACTTCCCAGACGCCTGCTTCTGAGTGGCAGGGAAAGCCCACTTAGTCTCTGAATAGCCAGAAGTGTCTGGAAACCAGGAGCAGTTGTGAGATGAGTTGTGGAAAAAGCTGATTTGTCCCACTGAAGTCAGCAAAGGGGCTGAACCAGCCTAAATGGTATGCTCGGCGGGAGTTTGCTACCTAGCCCTTAGGGAGCAGGGAAGCGGAGCGGTGGGAGAGACCTGCAGAGGCCCCAGGCAGGGTCGTGTACTGTGCAGAACTGCTGGGAACCCCCCAGCCAAGGTCCTCCCTCAGATCTGCCCCTTTCTCCAGCCTCGTCTACTGCATCGCAGCCACTGAGACCCGTCCCTGCCTGAGCTTTGCTGTGCGAAATGCTGCAGGATCTCCAATCCCCGTGGCGTGGTGCCATTCAGAGTGAGGGTGCTCCGGGACCTCAGCCTGGACCCACACCTCCTTGAGCAGCTGGGGACCTGCTGGATGCCAAGAGCCCCTCGGGGGCGATGTGCTTATTAGCAGTGATGTTTGTAGTACTGGATCTCTGTGAGTTTTTAATTTTGAAGTTATTGAATTTTGAGCTCTGATTAGTTTGAGCTTGATTCCGCAGTGCAGTGGCACATAAGCCTCTGCTTTTCTCTAATACCATTCCCACATCGCCCGCTGGCTTTTCAGGGAGATGATGTTCAGCCTGTGCTAAAATGGTGCCCTAAATGAGCAAATTTTGCTTCACTGAGACCTTGGAAGTGCCAACTGGCTGCTCATCTCTTGGAAGGGCAACACCAAGAGCGTTGCAGGTTTGGAGGGGTCCGGCAGCAGAGTGCGACTCCACAGCTATGACCATCTCTCTGCATTGCTGGTGCACTGTCTCCTCAGGTGATGGCATGCTATGTTGGTGGTGCTCATGCAGTTAAAGGAGAAGCAGACGCAGACTGGCCGAGACCATTGCAAAGCTATGAAATTCCAGCTACGGATGAATAACTCAAGTATCTGGCAGGTGAAGCTCTCCAGGAATCCCTCCCGGGGACAAGTTCTCCTGTGATGACCAGCTACAAGGTCACAGGCACCTTTTGGGGAGGCAGCAGGTGCTTTTCTCTGCTCCTGCTGGACAGGCATGAAAGCAGAAGCACGGCAGGCCCCGTGTCCTCACTGCTCTGAGAACTTCCCTTTCGTGTGGGAATGCCCAAACTGCTACATCTGTGCCACTAATATGAAATCGAGCTTTGGATGTGTCAGTTCAGGCTTTGCAGTGTAGCAAGCTGTGCCGGAAACACTGTACCTGCACCCTCAGCTCATGCCTGCACCTTTCTTGGAGTGCCTGTGAGACTGAGGTATTTCTAAGGCACTTTGGGACCTTTGCCTAGGAGATGCTCTAGAAATCCCAGGGATTGTTATTTAGATGCAAATAGGCCTGAAATGCTGTTACCCTTCTGCAGGGGTGAAGGATTATTCTAATAAAAGTGAATTTAACTGAGCGCTCCAGGATCAGACTTTCTCCGAAGAGCTCTGTAACATCGTGCAGTGTTTCATTTTCATTATGAAGCAGGACTGATTTATTTTCTGAATCAGGTCTGTTGGCCCAGAAACCGCAAAAGCGGTTAGAGCGAGCTGCTGACCCCTGTGTGGAAGAGGCAAATCACTTCCAGGCAAAAGCAACAAGTGGAACAATTACTTGGAAATCTGCCAAGGCAGCTTGAGTCAACCACTCTGCTTTAGCCATTGGTTTCAACGCTGTGAAGGATTAAGGCAGTTAGGTTTACGTGGGACCCGGGTGTTTCTTGGCTGTTGATGCCCTCCTTGCACGTGGGGACTGGCGGGGAGCACTGATGCGAGGGTCTGTCCGGAGGCTGGCAGGCACCCAGCACTCGAGCTGGCACTGAGCAAGCATCCAAAATCCCCAGGGCCAGCTCCGCACCGAGCTGCTGCTTGGCCAATGCGATCTCTCGCTCTTGCAGCCTGGGTAGCTGTAAGAGGGCCTCGTTCGTGCATGCCGGTGGCTGCTTGTTTCTGTGCTCCCTCCTCCTGCCATCTTGGCGGTTGCCTCTGCTCCAGAGATGCTGGAGAGGGGAGAGGATTTGCAGCCAGCATAAGTCTTTCAAACCTTTTTGAAAGAGTAACCAGTGCTTTTTTGCCCCAGATGCACTGGTGCTAATTTCTCCTCTGAGCCAGCGAGGTCAGGACTGTGGTCACTGGTCCTAATGCTCAGGTCAAGCACGTGGATTTTGTGATCTGGGAGACACAAATGTTCACTGACCCCGGGGTTTGATTACTTTGATTTTGCAATGGATGCGTTTCCAATTTCTTTGTTCAACGTTCATATTGCTCTTGTGCCTAACGCCCCACGGTGGCCGGACCTGCTGGGCACCAGGCGAAGATGGGCTCTGAGCAAGCACCAAGCGTGGGCGAGCAGCCTGGCTGCGTCTCTGCTGTTGTTTGATTGTGCAAAGGCAGGGAATATGTTTTAAAAGATAAATAGTCATTTGAGATGGGAATCGTGTTTTCCTTTCCTGTACAGAAGAATTAATAAAAAGCCCAGGATACCTGCTTCTCTAGTGTAACTCCTCTGGTTTTCACAGACCCAACTCCAGGGATGAATTTGTAGGGCCCACGTATTTGTGTGACCTGTAATTGGTGAGAGGGAAATGTTGGGAAACGTAGCCCGATAGCATCAGGCACGTTCTCCAGCAGCCCTCATGCAGAGAGCTGATCGTTTCCTGAAGGGAAACTTGTCCCCCCACCTCTCTTTTTGCTCTCCCTCTATTACCATAATGAAATGTCAGCTTGCCACCACCTTTGCCATGGAGCAGATGTCTGTGCATAATTTCTGTTGCTGCAGGGCTTCCAGTGTTTACCCTGGCTGTCTAGCCAGGCTGTTACAGCGTTAGCTGGTTCACATCGCAGCGTGGCCGCGCGGTTGTGCACATCTGGAAGAGGCTGTAACTGCCAAGGCTTTTAGCTGATGCTCTCCAGTGCGCTTTTGTCTGCTGTGTGTCTAGATCAGCTCTCATGGGAGTGGATCAGCTTGCTTAACCTGCAGACATGTGTGATGGTAGTGAGTAAGCTATCTGTGTCAGACCACTTACAACAGGTCGTTTGAAACCTCTTTCCCACCAGCGATTGCATGATGGGTTATATGAAGGTGATCCTAGAGCTCCGCATGTGGTTAGGGCTCTCTTTAATGTGCATGCACCAGCAGAGCCTTAAACTAAGGAGAGGTCCTTGCCCAGAAACTATCTGTAAGGGCAACTGCCCTGCCCCGAGCATGGCATGCTGGAAAGTTGACCTTAAAAATAGCATTTACATGAAGTTTGCTCTTTCTGGGCAAAGCCCAGGCTGGTGTGCTCCTTGGGGCACGCCACTTCTGTGGTGACCTGGCAGTGACTGTGTTGACCAGGTTTGTAAAGCAGGAAGGGGTTAGGCCAGCGTTTTCCCCTACCCCACTGTGTGCTTCCTAGGAGATAATGCAAAGTGCTTGTGGGGAGGCATGCGAAGGAACGTGCTCTGTTTGTAGGACAAGGGAAGATGATAATTAGGGCTGGGTGGTCATATTCTCCTGGGACGGGCAGGGAAGGCAAGAGGATTTCCTCTCCCATTCAGTAAAGTCTCTTGGGATTGTTACAATTCAGCTTTTGCTGCCATTTCATGTTTTGAAAGTTAATGTTTTTAGCTTAAGTTTGTTGGCAAAGTTACCCAGAAGTCAGCCACTGTCCTATAACTTCCTCCTCCTGCTTCCCCCAGTGGCCCTGAAATGGCTTTCTTGCCGATGCATTATTACTTCCCAGATAGCTTGCAGAAGAAAAGGATTTTTAGTGTTTTCATTATGCCTCTGTGCATCCGAGCTCTTGCTCTCCCAAGGGTTTCTTTGGTTTTTGCTGTACAAACAATTCAGCCAGTTCCCAGAGATGGCCCCATGGAGTTAGGACAGAGCGGGAGGTCCTAGCTGCAGCCGCGCAGAGCGAAGGGCCCATGTTGGAGCAGACTTTGCTCTGAAAGGGCTCCATGGCAGAGGTTTGGCCACGGCTCCACGTGTGAAAGCTGCCCAAGTGGCTGGTGTAGCTTTGTGGTGGGGGAATTTGGGTTAACTCATGAAAGGTAAGGTCATTTCTCTATTTGTAGGCCCTTTTGCCAGGCAAGGCTAGAAAGAGATTACCTTTTTTGGAGCTGTGGCGTCAGCTAGCTAGTGATGGCCAGAGAGGCATCTTTCAGGTTGGAAATATCTGCCAATTTCTGAGCAGTTGTCTGGCCTTGGCACTCATCTGCTACTTCTCTTATTTTGCCTAAATGTCTCTCCTGGCCTGTTTCATTCTGCATGTGGTTCTACCCATTTTGATTAGCTTTATGGTACTGCCGTTTTAAAATAAGCCAATGTAAAATTAACTTCTCTATTTGGATCCCACAAACCTTTAATACCACCAGCTGCCCAGTGACTCAGCTGGTCCGATGAGGCCAAGCCAATCTACAAGACTTGAACGATTTCTCTCTCTAACAGCTCTGCTCTGTCCCACAGGTTGGGCTGTTTCTGGGTTCCTGCCCATTCTTTGTGTAATTACTGGTGACGGTTGTATTTTTCTCTGAGTGAAGTGTTGTGCCCTGGTGTACTCCCCAGTGAGGCACCACAATGGACGAGCTGTAGGGAATGGCTTTTTTCCACATTGTATTCACCAATCTATCAAGGTGGGATGCATGTGCTGGCACCGCTCCTTGCATCCTCCTGGAAGGATTTCTAGGGGTTTCCTCTGGGTGGGTCACTGCCGTTGCGGACCATGCTCATGCTCCTTTTCTTTTTCCTTTTTCCTTTTTCTTTTTTTCTTTAGTGCACTACCAGAAGATCATTCACCGGGACATCAAGCCTTCCAACTTGCTCTTAGGAGATGACGGGCACGTCAAAATAGCTGATTTTGGAGTCAGCAATCAGTTTGAAGGGAATGACGCCCAGCTTTCCAGCACGGCAGGAACGCCAGCTTTCATGGCACCGGAGGCCATTTCGGACACTGGCAAAAGTTTCAGTGGAAAGGTAGGTCTTTGCTCACAGCTGATCAATCTCCGGGGACCTGCAGGCCAGGCACAAGGGGCAGCACCACCCCTGCCTCCTTGGAGGTTTGCCCAACCCAGGACCATTATGCACATGAGGGTTTTTATTTAAAACTGAAGCTCTGATTCGGTGCTCAAGGGCCAGCTCCTCCATCGCTGCAGGCTTGGAGGGTGTCACCTCCCATGAGAATTGGCTGCTTGCTGGTACCCTCCTCCATTGGCAGCAGGGATGGCGTTGGGAGCACTTGGCCTAGCGCCGTCTGCATTCCCCAGGTGTGCTGCGGATGCTTTTAGGAGCCCAGCTTCAGAGAGACTCTGCACAATAAAATTAAATAGGGAAAATATTAAATACTTGCAAATAGCATTCTGTGAGTCAGTAGGAAAATCTTGCTAATTTAGACCATCCTGGAGTTGCATCTAATTTACTGCCTGCATTTGCTTTCTTTCAGGCACTTGATGTATGGGCCATGGGGATTACTCTGTACTGCTTTGTTTACGGGAAGGTAAGCTGCTTTCAGACACTGGAGCCTTGCATGGGAGTGTCTACTCGCCTGCCTTTTGACTCACTCCTTTCCAAAAAAAAAAAGGAAAATATTAGAAAAAGAGAACCACCTGCTGCAAGCTCCTCTTTTCCCAGATCAACCCATGGGTGGGAAAGTGACAATAGTGTGATTTGTGCAAGGGATGGTTTTTGGGGTTGGCCTCTGCACTCAGACCAGCTTTTAGTGCTACCAGCCCAAAGGGGCATCAGCAGCACCAACAACAGCTTGTTGGAGGGGTGTCTCTGTTGCCTATATTTAGAAACAAGCCAGATGGTGCGTGTGGAAAGAAGCATAGGTTGGATCCCAAGCCCTGCAGAGGGCTTTAGCAAACCAGATTTTGGAAAGCCCTGTGTGCCGGAGCTGTGCTGGGCCAGATTCAGTTCATTTGGGCAGAGCTGCCTGTTCAGAGTTGCCTCCAGCAAGCTCTTTGTCCTGTCGTCGCTTTTGCCCCTCCTGGGGCAGATGTATACAAGCTGGGGTCAGAAGGCCCGTTGTCTCACAATGAGTGGTTCAGTTTAAAGCTGGTACCTCACCTGAACCTCCTGTCCAAGCCAGGACTACCGCAGGTGGCACCACACACACACACAAGGCATTTAGCTAAGGGGTAAGAAGTGCCTGGGAGAGACGCAGAGGCAGAACTGTCCCCATCACCAACATGATATCACTGAGCTAAGCCAGGATGGAAAATGTGCTCTCAGCTGTGTCTAGAAAGTCTTGTTCAGGCCAAATCCCAAATTCTGGTATAACCTTGTGTTACTTCCCTGTGGGGGTAAACCTGGGAGGGAAGAAAGAGGAAATATAAAACCAAGCCCAAGGATACGTTCTTCTGTTCCCCCTGACTCTCTATACAGTAAACCTTGTACATTTTGTACCTATTTTGTGTTTCATGCTTTCCCTGGGCCAGGCAGGCTGGGACAGAGCCAGGCAGCAGCCCACATCCCGCTACAACGGAAGAAGCTGCTCCTTCCATTTCGATGCAGGTGTTTGTAGGACCTGCCATATACTGTTCTCTTTTCCCCTGCAGTATTCACATGGCTCAGTTAAATGTCTGTCAGCCCTGCAATGTGTGGGAGGAGATTGGATGTGTTGTTTTTTTTTTTTTTTTTTAACATCTCCACATCAAATGCACCACCTCAGTTAAATGAATGAGAAATGCTAACCAGTGTTGAGCTCTCTGACAGCTGGAAAACCTTGGTTTGTTTTACAGTGCCCTTTTATAGATGAATACATTCTGGGTCTTCATAACAGGATCAAGAACAAGCCCGTGGAGTTCCCCGAAGAGTAAGTAAACTTTACTGAGCTACTGTAAAATGAAGTTTAGTCTTCAGTGTTGATCACTGAGCAGCATAAATACCGATAGGTCACCACAGAGGGACAGGTGAACGCAGGTGAGGTGTTTTGCCTTTTTTTTGTGCCCTTCACGTGGGCTTTGTGCCGATGTTGCTGTCGGAGTATTCCAGCTGCCTCTGGTGCTCCTGTGTCTGTCCGCGTTGTGCAGATGGGGATGGGAGCATATTGTGCTTGGCATCTTTGGTGAAAGTGGAGGGATGTGAATATGGGTCCAGCAAGTTCTGCCTCAGCTACCTGATGCTGGAGATGCTGGAAGCAGGGGTTGGATGAGGTTTTGGTGCCTGCCCCCCCCAAATGGCTCACTGTGTTAGTTTGTAAAAGCAATGTGATTTACAGATCTCAGTGTCTAAGTAAGGGCGTGCTTCTTCCATGGGCTTCCCTTGGAGCTGGGTGAAATGTCCAATAGGAGGATATTGCCCCAAGAGATATAACCACTGCCTAAAGACTGCTGCATCTGCACTCCTCTGGCTGTTCCAGCACTTTCAGGAAAAATGTGGGTTAATCCTGCATACAGGCAAACTTGGGCTGCTGTTACCACTCTTCATGGTCCCCTCCATTGCTTCCAAGTTCCCAAAAAACATAAGCTATTTGTCTTTGTGCTTTTAGCCCAACCGTATAGTTTCCCATTTCATATTGAGAGGCTGTTTCTCCAACCCCTTGGTCAGCAAAGGCAACCCACATTGGCCATTGATTTGTTCTTGTGCTGTCGGGCCTGGCACCATCTGAGAAACCCTGCCCTCGGCCCTGAGAGCTGAGGCTGGATAAAGCAGCGGCTCGTCGCTCCCAAGCGGCCCCGGCGTGCCGAGGACAGACCCCATCCCCAGCAAGAGCTGTGTGCTGGGAACTGCTGGGCTGTGTCATCACAGCGTGTCATCACAGCATGTCCTCCAGCCCGTGACGTGCCTCCAGCACGTGGCTGTGCAGGTGGACCAGCCGGGTCTTGGCAGCTGAGCCTGGCAGGGGATGGCTCTACCCGATTCGTGCTCCATCTGTATCGCCGTGAGACCGTGTCTTTCTCTTAACATATTGGATGCTCCTTGGCATTTCCTTCACCTTCAGGCCTCTGGTGCCTTTCTGCTGGCAATAATTTTTTTTCTCCTTTTTGCATTCAGACGAAGTAGCCAAAGCTGGGCTTTTTTTTCCCCTTCCTTCCCAAATCAGCACAGTAGCCAAGCAAACAATTTTTGACCTGTTTGACCTAATCCTTCATTCTAATGAAAAATCTAGAGATTTGATTTGATTTTAAACAAGCATGAAAAAATTAAAACTCTAATGAAAGGCACGTTTGGTAATAGAGAGGGAGACAGGGATGTCAGGCAGCCCCAGATAAGTGTTTGGATCACTATTACATGAATTATTTGCGCAATGCTCACTGAATTTTTCACCTACGCTGAAGGGCTGGGCCTCTGCCGCAGCAGTCCCAGGCGTCCTCTAGAGTCTGTGACGAGAAATGGGTACTTAGGCTGTCCTATTTTATCCATCTGCTTTGGATGGGATGACTCATGGCCCAGACTCTGCTGGCTGCATTAATTACATCTCCATCGACTGTAAGCGCAGCCACCGCAGACGGCTTCAGCGGAGCTGCCTCCGCTCGGGCTGGTGGAGCTGAGGACCATGTCTGGGAGATGGGGCACGTCTCTGCTCCACAGGACGTAGGGCCACGAGGATGGTGGCAGACGCGGGGCCCCGGTCATGGGTATGGAGCAATTCTGGCAAGGTAGTCCTGTGCTGTTGGGAAGGTTTTCCAGGTAACCAGGCTTCAGAGCATGGAGGCTGGTCATGCCAAACTGCTGTATTCCCACCGGTTGCTGGGCGGTCGGGGCAGGGCTTTCTTTTAACAGAACTGCAGCAAAAAAAATTGTTTATGTTTCCCTGGCAGTCGTGTCTCTGCTTGCTTGGGTCCTGGCAAAACGCCTGTCATCGCTCAGCCGTTGTATATTTGGGTTAGCAGTCAGCGCATAAGTGACTGTTCCCATCTGTCTCTGCACAAAGTTATTAATGTTTAATGGGATAACTGGGTTGTGCAAAGGATCTTTTCTTCATTCAGACATTTCCTTCAGCAATAGTTCGAGCTGCGTGATTTATTTGGATTTCTTGGTGACCTACTCTCTCAATCTAAAAAAAGCAGCACCTCTAATTAGATTGTTGAGAAGCAGAGAGTTGCTGGGTGTTGATTGCTGTCTAAACTACATCTATTTATTAATTAGGAAAAGGCACCAACAAAGACACACATGAAGCTGGAACTCCCTGGACTGGATCCACCCCGACCTCCCACAGAATTAGCATCTCACTGTAGTCAGGAATATTTTGGTTTCAATTTACTTTACCATGGCTACAAAAGGCACATACTCTTATTTGCAGACAGTCCATGGAAACTCATTGCCTGTTTCCTGACAACCTCTAGAACAGAGATGGAGCGGCCTGTACTCACGTCGCCTTGCCTTACCTTCCCTTAGAGACGCTGCAAGAAATATTTACTATCCCTCTGAAGCTCTCATTCATGTCAGTGAATCCTGGCCGTGGCATGAAATAAATGGAGTTAGCCAAAACTGCAGCTCACACCCTGATGATCTTATGGCATGACTAAAAAGCACGCTGGGAAAGCTTTCTGCCCGGGCCCACATCAGGAGAGCCAGAAGCTCTATGTGAAGCTCTTCATCTCCTGGTGAAGGGCTGAAGCTCGGGATGTTGTTTTCTGACTTTGCATGCGGGCACCCAGTAAGATGCTCTATGGTGTTGGCAGCCCTCCCAGCTTGATTCTGAGCTGGGCGATGCTTTGTGTTTCCCTGAAAGCTGCTGCAGATCCACGACTGAGACGTTCCAGATAGCGCAGACTTTTCAGATGAAACATGTTTTCAGGTACCGCATGCACCCGGGCAAAAGGGAGAGAAGGAAAAACAGAGACAGGGTGATTCAATTTGTTACCTAGCTATAACTCACCTAAAAATTTGTGAACCTGCTTACAGGGTTTTTTCCCTTGTGAGGTTAATTCTGTGTTGCTTAGATATCGGTTTGGTTCCCAGAAATATTATGTGATAGTATATTCTTTTTTTTTTTTTAATTTTAAGTTCCACTGTTGCTGCTTTTGCACAGCTCTGATGTTAGGTATTTTGGGAAACACCGCCTCACCCTTATCTCAGTGAGGTCCTCCTTTAGGAGACTGCTTACTCTGACCTGCCAAAGACACAGCAGCTCCCCATAGCTGTTCCTCTGCGCCTAGAGCGTGTCTCAAGAGAGTGCGGTTCTCCTCATTCCTGCCTATGATGTCCCTGAAGTGCAGCTGAGGCAGTGGGAGGTCTCTGAGGACTCAACCTGCCATTCCCTTTGCCCAGCCCAAATTCAATGTACTGTAGACCCTTGGCACAACTGAAAGTGTTCAGAGGCTTTAAGCTGCGCCCACTTTCTGCCCCTTCCCACTGAGCGAGCAACGTTTCCCTGTGACTGCTTGTGTCAAAACATCCCACAACCAGGTTCACATAAAGTATTTAGAAATTATTAAACAGCAGCTCTAATTTAATCAGACAGAAATGTCCCTTACTGCAATATGAGCTTCATTTAGCTGTGTGATGGTTTATTGCTCCCTGTTCCTGGGGAGGGACCAGCAGGGGTGGGCACAGCACATGGTTCTCATCAGTGTTTTGAATCAGTTGTTAGTGCTGAAATCCAGCCCTGCTGGGGAATGACATTGTCTGCTGCCAGATCCCATCTCCGGGCGGGTATGCACCTCGTTGAGAGTTGTTTGTGACACAGACTTTCAACTGCCTAACATGATTCTGTCATACGTTGGCATTTTATTTTGGTAGTGCTTTGCACACACAGATCAAGCGCTTTTGAAAAGATCTTGCCTTCATCATTAGCAGCAGAAATCCTTGAAGCCTTTGGGCTTGGAGGACAGACTTCAGGAGGGGCAGCAGGACTGAGGGCTCTGTGTGAATACGGTGGCTTCTGTGCTCGGGCACTCTATTATTTTATCTTGGAAATAGCATTTAAAAAATCAGAAGCACTTCTCTTTTTCTTAATAAGTTGTTGCCTCCTTTTGTTATCCCGAGGCTGAGCTGTCAGGTAGCAAACACTGGGTTAACAAACTGACTGCCGTCAGCGTTCATAGAGACAATTTGATTAACGCAATCTGCAAGCCGAAGTGGGAACCTGAATGCTGAAAGGGGATATTTCTTTCCAGCACATGCTTGCTTATGATACAGATCCTGCAAATCAAGTTATGCCCTTCTTTTATCACATCTATAGCCCCCGGAGCAGGTTCTGCCCTCAATAAGACTTTGTTGTTACAGAGTCTGTCCCCCGGGATTCCCATAAAATGTACTGTCTTCAAATATGTCCTTAGACCTGTCTGCCTGATCCCCTGCCTTGCCTTTGGAGAGTGCGGTGCTGTTAGCAGGCAGTCCAGGAGGAGGGAACTCCTCGGCAGGGACCATGATGCCTAAGAAGGCACCAAGCCAACTAGACCTTCCTTTCTGAAGCTGGGTTTCAAGAGAAGATATCTTCTGACCTGAGTGGAGGTCACTAACCGCAGCAAGGGTTATGCATGCCTTCATCACTTATGATTCCCTGGTTAACTGTATGCTGCTCTTTTCTATACTCAGACCCCAGAGAAGCGAAGAGCTTAAGGAACTGATCCTACGTATGCTTGATAAAAATCCAGAAACGAGGATAACAGTCCCTGAAATTAAGGTAAATTGAACACTGATGCTATAGTCATGGTCTTGGCTGATTTTGTTGTTTCTTTGGTACCCTCTAGTGAGGCACAGCTGTTTCTAGTTCTTGTTTTGGGAGCTTTCTCCAGCAAGCCGACTCCAGGAGGGAGAATGCTCGTTTTGCAACATGAACTCTTCTGACGCTGCTGCTTGCTTGGGGAATATTGACAAAGGCTTTTTTGCTGACTTGTTTAAATAAAGATTACTCCAAGTCAGGCTGATCCTCAGTGAATCCCCTGGAGGACAGACACTGTTATGGGGACTGCTGGCTGCAAGACCCAGCCCATTTGTGCGTGAGAGCTGTGGTAAGAGGGCTGGAAGTGCGTTCCTGCTCCGGTGGTGTGTGGTAGCAGCCTCAGGGCATCACGTTTATTTCTATCAGCATTAGTTGGGTGACACGGAGAAACAAATAGACCTAATGGAGCAGAAGCCTTCGCAGGGCTTTGCTTCAGTCTTCTTTTGCACGGGCTTTCTGTTCTCCTGTCACCCCTCACCGCAGCATCCTACCTGCTGGACACAGACGTTTCCAAAGAGGTCCATTAGCATCCCCTGCTAGTCACAAAACTCTTCTCTCAATCCCAGGCCAAGACCAGCCCATTTTCCACTCAAGCTGCTGAGCTTGAGAAGAAATATGAGGTTGGGCTTTGAGAAGAAATATGAGGTCCCTTCCCCCCATGCCCAGGAGGCCACAGCCAGTGATGGGAAGTACTTCAGAGTTGTATGATTGCAGCTCTTGCTTCCCTCTTCATGGGAGACGTGGGCCCCATAGGAACCCCTGGGGAGAAGAGCAAAGCAGAGTGTGGGATCTGATCCCCAGCTATGTCAAAGATGCTCAATGTGCTTGAGAACTCACGTTGGACGCTGAAAGTATGTGTCCCTAGTGCCAAGTCTGGCACTGCACTAAGACCAAGGCCTGGATCACTGCATTTCTCATGTTTGCAGCCAAGGAAGTCATCCAGTGAGAGGCCAGAGAAAAGGGACAGCTTTCCTGTGTCCTTGCTCCATGTAAGATGATGACCAAGCAGCTCCTTGGCAAGGAGCAGGGGGAAGCTTGCAGTAGAGCTAGGGGAAGATGGAAAGAAGTGGTTTCTGTGATGACTTGGGAAGGCACTTTGTTCTTTAAAAAAAAAAAAAAAAAAAAAAACCATACTGCCTGTGTGCCTGGTCTGGACTTTTATAGGGGAACATTTGCCCTCTCCTTTCCCATTTACATAACAGACCCCAGCTAGAGATGGTTTCCGTGGCTGGGGGCCCAGGCCATGTAACACAGCTGTGCAGCAGCGTGCAGGCAGGCCACCCAACAGTGGCACAGCTGCAGGACTGCCATGGCCACCGAACGCCCTGGCAGGGGAATCCAGCCCCAGAGAGTACAGGAGAGCCTGATGTGCCTTCTCCTCCTCCTCCTGCTTCGATCATACTGCTGGATAGAGTACTCTTCTCTCCTTAACTGAAATGCTTGCAGACCCTAGGTATACTGTAGGTTTAGTGTCATGGTCTCCCTTAAGGTTGAATGTGGAGTTTTGCCTTTGAAAAGAGTTATTTAAGCACAATTAATGATCTTTGGAAAATGCAGCTTAATTAGGTGCCATAAAGAAGCTCAGCAATGAGCTTGGAAGCCCTTGGAGAATGCTCTGGACGTCTGCATCAAACTCATTTGAATGGCAGTAGGCACTGAGCATCCATCCAGATTAAACTCCTGATCTCAGGAGGTGAGGCAGGCTTTTTCTGCAGCAATGCTGGAGGACGTTCTCCTTGCCAAGCTGGCCAGGGGTGTGGGTAATAGAGAGCTTAGCCCCATCCTGGCATCAGCTCCCCTCTGCAGCTGATTATACCACCAAGAGCCTCCTGGTGCTCATTTGCATGTCATTGTGCAGCAGCACTGATTAACTGTGAGCTCTCATCTAATAAGCTGCCTGCTTCCTGCACTGGAAGGCAGGAGCAGTATTAATTGCCTCTCTGAGTGCTCCTCGTATCTCAGGATGGAGGAAGGAGCTACTGGTGGAGGCTCCAAAGGTCGTGCTCAGGTGCAGAGCAGGAGCTGGGAGAATTTGGGCTAGAAACCTCATTTCTTAGCAAGGAGCTTCCTGCTCTCTGGAGACGTGGCCTCCCTTCCTCACTTTCTCCTGTTGCTGCCCCACAGTGTGTTTGAATCCTTTTTTATGCAGATGCTTAAATGATCATGATTCTTCCTGGTAGTGAGTGTGAATAAACTGAGCTGAAATGTGTCTGTATATGAGAGAAGAAAGGTGGAGAGCACATGGGAAAGGCCATGGATGACTCAGACTTTCAAAGCATTTCACACTTGATTCAGAGGGTGCTGGATCCCTCCAAGAAACTGGCCAGTGGCCACGGGTGCCTGCAGCACCTTGCTTTACAGCGTGCTGCCTGTCTAAGCGCCGGGTTGCAGCAGTTCCTGAGGGAGCTGGTTGAGGTGTGCTGCTATAAGTGAAATATGGAGCCTCTCTTTACCAACATCACTGCTATCTGCTATAGAAGGGAGACCTATAGTTTTTTTTCTGCTCCTTCTCCATGTAGCTGCATCCGTGGCTAACCAAGAGTGGCGAGGAGCCCCTGCCACTGGAAGAAGAGCACTGCACTGTGGTGGAGGTGACAGAGGAGGAGGTGAAGAACTCAGTCAAGACGATCCCAAGTTTGCCAGCTGTGGTACGTGTAAACCTCAGCCCCTTCCTCTACTCTTATCAAGAGGTATGGTACTTCCCTGAAGCCCTTGATTGGCAAAGGAGGTTTGGAAGGTACATGTGAGCTTAGGGCATGAGAAACTTGGCCTTTTAACCTAGTTGAATGTTTTGTCCTTGAGTACTGCAGCAGCCTGACCATGCAAGCAGTCCTTTCTAAGGCTGACTGCTCTGGTAAGAGCTGTACAGTGGCACACCCGAAGTGTCCAGTATCAGATATCCCAGAACACATCAGGAGTATCCCAGATGTATTTTGTCTCATTAACCTAGAGATTGCAAAGCAGCTGTGTTAACTGAAAGGAGCAAGACAGCTCATTTGGATGCTAACAATGTAGGCTCCAAACCTGGAGGAGACCTGGCCAGAGAGGCAGGGAGAGGGCAGCTGCCAGCGGACTGTGTAGCTGGACCTTGCCTGCTAGCCTTGGGGACCACCAGTGGGTGATCAAGCCTGTCTCAGCAGTTTGCGTGCAGTCAGCTGCAGGGCTGTTAGAGGGAATTACTACAAAGCGGGTGCCTTTTGTGCCAAGGGCCGGAGTTCCTCATATTGGGTGCAGAGCACCCGTTTGTGCAGCTCTTGTGGTGTGATGTTAACGTAGACTCTTGCCCCAACAGCTAGTCTGGGAGAGCAAAACCCATCCTTTCCCCTCAATAGCAGGCCCTTTGACTTCCAACACACAGGAGCTGGGGGGCTCTTCCCATGCTGCCCCCGTGGAAGACGGCCCAGGAGGGCACTGATGACTCCTCCTCGGGGGCTTGGACCACTGTGAGAGGCAGGCAGCTGTCGGCAGCACCCACTCCAGCTCTTACCAGGACCAGCCTGCCCCCAGCGGCTGAGCGCACTGCCCACAGGAGTGATGCTGACCCTGCCTGCAAGTCAAATAGTTGTTCCAGGGATGTCTCTAGTTCACGCTTTACCTGCAATGCTGTTAAACGTCTTGTTAAATTATTAAAGAGCTGTTCGACTCCTTTGAACTGGTTTCAAGGAGGTGATATGTCAGTCCTGCTGTCCTCACTGGTCTATTTTTGTTCCTCAAAGATCCTAGTGAAGGCCATGCTAAGAAAACGCTCCTTTGGAAATCCATTTGAGGTTCAGACCAGACGGGAGGAGAGGTCCATGTCTGCTCCAGGAAACTTGCTGATGTAGGTATATACAGCCTTGCCTGGCTCTGCCCAAATGTAAGGAATAAAGGTGTATGGGAAGAATAAGGGAAAGCGTTTGCAAATATTTTCCTTAGCGTTTAAGGACAAAGCTTCTAAATTAAATGCTGATGCTGAATCCTACCTCAAATCCTCTAGGGTTAAAACACAATGCAGTAAGACAGATTTTATAGATGCAGCTCTCTCTGTAAGCTGAATTTGGTCAAAACACATGTAAGGTCCTCAGCTTGGATCTGGCTTCTAATGTGTTAAGTTTATCATAAACTGTGATCAAAGATTCGTTAACTAATTTAAGATTAATTTCAGCATAGCCTGTGCATGTGTTGGATTGTTTAACTCTTCTCTCCTTTTTACGGACAATGGAAAAGGCATCAGATGAGCAGTCTGCATGTTTTATAAGCTAGAGATGAGGTGATGTTGCCCCAGAATCACCCTCTTCCACCCAAAATTGCAGTACCGTGCCTAGCAGGTCCCAGGAGGGTGTATTAAACATGTCACTACGCCTTTGACAGGGCAAGTGGAGGAGTTTTTTTCCTCTCACTGGTGTGTGGGGATTTAGGAGCTCAGCTCAAATAGAGATAACAGTGATTTAGGGCCCAACTGTGTACCAGAGACTACAGTAAAGGCTTTGCCAGTTAATGTGCAGATCCTCAGCAACTTGATGAGATGTTGAACCCTGCCAGAAATGAGAATGGGAGGATGTAGAAAAAACAGCAGAACATAGAAAGCTGGAGGAGCTTTGCTAGCCTAAAGGAGAAGTCACATAATGAGGAGAATTTGATTAATACTTGAGTTCATTCCTCATGCAAAGTTTGAGGACAGTTCGGTACCCGTCCCTTTAGCGGTCTCTGGATAGCTAGTGACACACACCCTTCCTGCAATGGGCCAGGCCGTGCCTGCTTGCCCATGACCTTAACGTAAAAAACGTTAATGGCTTCTCTCCTCCTGAGCTGCCTCTGCTATAGTGGGAGAGTTCAAAGACCTGCTACCTGGTATGACTTTGCCTTCAGCTTGTCCCCCTTCAACCCTCTGCTCCAGGGAGGAAGGTGCCCATGAGCGTAGCGTGGAGGGATGCTGGCTAGCTGAAGCATTTTTCAGCTCTGTGATTTTTTTTCCTAGTTTGGGGGCCAGATACTTCCCTCGGGGTTTTTGAGCATGCTTTACTGCATGTGCCTTGCACCCCAAGGATGCAGCCTTGCACGCACGCAGAGGCAAGGGTGTCAGCTCCGACTCCTCCTGACAGTTGCACGATTTTGGTTTTTCAGCAACTAAAAGTGGCAGTTTTCAGTCCAGGCAGGCAAGTGAGATGTCAGCCAATGTGCGCTCCAGCAAACACCCCGTACCTCGTGTGCTGCTGTGGGGATGTGTCTGAGGAGCACTGCAGTTGCAGCTCCTTTGCCAGCTTCACACAAGGAGTTTGTCTCCATTGAGTTTCTCTTGGCCCACTGCCCTTCTAATTAGCTGTCACTAATTTGACACATGTCCAGTCCCATGAATTCACTGCCATTCCTGGCCAGTGCATTGCGTTGCTCTAAGATGGGGAACGTTTTATCAAGTCTGAAGAAAAAAGCAGAGTGCACCTTGCACTGTCCAGGAGAGCCAACTCTGAACGCGCCAAGGTTTCTCCTTTTCAAACCCTGCCTGAATTGTTATTTCAAGGTGGTCTCTTGTTCTGGTGCTTTGAGCTCGTTTCCCAAAGGGACCTGTTTCAAGTATCTCAGATGAAGGTGGAAGGAAAGCTCTGGCTGATCAGTTGCTACTAACTAGCCAGTGAGAAAATTTGTCCTTGACCGTGACACATTGTGGCTGGTTCCTGCCTGGAGCAGGACACTTCTCATAAATTAATTCACGCACAACTGGATTTTTGAGAACCTGTATTAAAACCCCTCTGTTCAAAAGAAATACATAAGCTAGGTCTCATCTACAAAGTTCATATATTAAGCACTACAGCAGGGATATTTTTTTAGGGAATGTAGCTTATTATTTCAGACTCTGAAAAATGCTAGACTAGTTAAATCTAACGAAAGCGATTTAAACTTGTGAAACTTCCCATGCATCTTGCTTCAGTGCACTTAATACCGGAAGGCAGAGCTCTTTGAGTGATTTTCTCTCCCAGGTTGAAATGGGATTGTTTGTTGCTCTGTGAGTTATTTTTTGATTACAATGTCTACTTCCACAAGGGCAAACTGAACTAGATATTAAGCTGCTGGTGGCTGCCCACCAGGAGAGAAGGGAAAAAAGAGCCGCTGTGAGCTCCTGCTTCATGAGGACCAGGTTCTAGGGCATTTAAACTAAAAGACTGCAAGGTCAACCTGGAGGACATCAGGACTGGGCCCGTTTATGTCCACGGAGCCGGAGCACTTTGGGCTGCACGCAGGAATGGTGTTGGGAGCAAAATGGAGCCAATGCTGCCTGTCATGCGAAGGGATGTTACACCAAGGGCACCAGCCCAAAAACACAAGCTCTCCCCTGCAGAGCTTCTCCTCCCTGGTGGCAATGTCTTCAGAGAGTGGTAAATCAGCTCTTGTAACATTGCTTCTCTTTCCACTTATAGGTGGAAAATGACTTTTTGTGTTCCTGTAGAAGGAAAAAGAAAAGCAATTAGAAAACTTTTCCAGTTTCACGTTCAATTTAATTAGGCTGCACGTAACGTTGCCGGAGCCCCACTTGCTCCTTTTTCAAACATCTTCTGGCTGTGCCCGTACTGAGAATATATTTTGCAGGAAATCCTCTGACAGCTGAGTCTGCTTTTTGCCGTTTCATGCCTAATTGATGTTTCTTAAAATGGATCTGTCCTTTAAGAAAATAGGAAGAGAAAGGAGCCAGCTCCCTCTCTGGGATTTTGGGAGGAGGCGGCTGGAAACCACTTGGTTGAATTGTTCTCAATTTCTGCCTGCTCCTTGCATTGCCTGTCCACAACCTGCCAGGCTCTGTTCTTGGAAATACTTAGTGCAGAAGCTGCATGGGCGGAAGTCTTTGCAATAGCAGGAGGCCTTTCAGGTTCATTGCAGCCTTTGTTCCCTTGGAGGACATCACTGATTTGAAATAGTTCTAAAATTTGCACTGGAAAGAGAGAGGGGTTTTTTAAGCACTATTAAGACCCAGAAGTAGTTGTTCTCTCCTAGGTGCTATTTAATGCTTTATTTGATAGTGCTGAAAAGTGAAAAAGCCAGCTATGGAAACAGTAGGCATGTTTGCCAGAGAGTAAATCAGAAGGAACTAAAATAAAGATGTTCCCTCTTAGCAGCTCTTGTTTGTGCAGCACCTGCCTCTCCTCTAAGAGCATCCCTACGTGCCGGGGGAGGTGCTGCCGGCCATCGCTCTGCCCCGTGGGCCGTGCTGGCCAGGGGAGCGCTGGGCTGGGGCAAGGTCGCCTCCAGCCGCTGCCTTTTGTGCAGGATCTCCCCGAAGAGGCAGGGATTCGCCGAGTCTTGCAGATCCTGCAGACTGGGACTGCTATTAACAGCGCAACCAATCGCTTTTAATTTTCCCAGTTGCAGAAAGCAGGGTATTCTTTAAACCCAGCTGTTCAGTGTTTGCAGCTAAGTGCTGGCTTTCTATTCGGAGCATTTCTACATTTCCTCTGCCTGCTCCAGATTTCTAATTGAGTCAGCCCTGGCTTCACCACATTTTATTACTCTCATCTACTGCGAGTACTACCTATCAAATTAATTGCTGTGTTTTGACAGACCCAATTTACTTTCCCGTTATGGCTGCTGTTGCTATTGATGAAATGTGGTTGTCAGCTCCCGTTCCAGGGGAATCGCTCGGGGTTTAGAAAGCCTCCGCCTGCCTCCCCCCTTCCCCAAAAGAGAGCGGAGCAGCCGGCACTGCCCCGAAGGCCTTACTGTCCAGGCAGGGGAGGAACAAGCAAGCCAGGAGGGAGAGAGAGGTCGTTTGCTTGGTCAGGGCAATTCAGTAAGAAAGGCTTTAAATCTGCGCAACGGCTGCGGGTAGGGTGGAACGCGGACGTTTGCACTCCAGAGGCTCCCTTGGACACTGCTGGCGCTCAGTGTCCGTCTCTGCGGTCCCAGGAAGATTTCAGGTGGGTAACGCTTAGATATTGCCAGAACAGAGACAACTCCAACCAAACGCCACGCGTGTTTCCATTGCAAAGGGAGACGTGCGTGTCTGGCGGGAAGAGCCGTGTCCCCGCGGGGCGGGTAGGTACCCTCGTTGTCCGACTGGCGACCACGCCACGGACTCCGGCACCCGAAGGAGCCAAATTACCTGGCCCAGGTAAGCCCCCCTCCCCGCGGGCTGCACCGGACCCCGGCCGATGCTCCCTCCGCCGTTCCGTTCGGCTCGCGAGGCTTGTTAGAAGCAGAAATACAACTCGTTTGCCTGCTGCCGGCATCTTCACAATCATTTTCTTCCTTTGTCTCATTGTTTTGCTCTCAGGGACAGATTCCTCTTAAACACATCCGTATGTTTGCATCCATCTTTAAGGTAATTCGGTGTTTGTGTTTCCCCCGGGCGCTGTAGCAGTGTGTGTCCTCTCCTTGGCCTCCGTGATTTGTGTGCTGCTGAGCGCCTTAGGTCCATCCTTCCTTCCTCTAGGAGCGAGTTTACAGCAGTGATTGTGTGTGTGTGGTGCTAACGTTTGTGTACTTTATTATTATTTAACGCTCTTTGGGCCAGCCTGCTTTCGGGAGGGAGGGGTAACAGAAGCCGGCCGGGTTTTAGCAGGAAAAGCTGTTCAGTCCCGCGCTCGCGGAGGAATAGCTGCAGGATTGGAGAAAGGCCAAGACTTGAACTTAGTAGTTTGGGCTGAGTTTTAAAATTTGGGGGTAATGAACAAGAAGTAGCTAGAGCTAGGGCCATCTCCACTCCAACCGCTCCTTGGCTTCTGGCCTCGGACGGCACGCTGGGGCAGCTCTGAGCTGACCAAAATCGTCTGCTCCGCCTGACCGGCCACCTCGCTCAGGACTTCCCCAAACCACGGGCACGTGTCGGTTCAGTTGCAAGTCGCGCAGATGTTCCTAGGGAGCAATCTGTCCAATTAATTCCGTTAAATACTGCAATAACATATAACGAACTGTTACAAACTGCTTAACAAATCTCAGTGTTAAGTCCCGGCATCTACTGCTTCATCCGGAGACTGTCTTCTGCCTGAATTGGGGAGATCTGGTCTCGGATGAGAGTTTGGGGATTCACTGTGCATCTTTCCATTCCTCGCTCCAGTCCGCTGGAGAGCGGGGTTTGCCGGGAGCTGATTTATCCCTGTGGGACAGACAGAGGAGTCAAAGCAGGTGGTGCAGGGGTTCTCCAGAGCAGGCAGGAGAAGGACGGCGGAGCAGGGGCGGGGTGGACACAGCGCTCTTACTGGCAGCCGGTACAGCTGCCTCTCAATTTTTCGTAGAGCGTTTCTGTCCTCTTTCTTTCAACGCCTGTTCCGGGAGCTAACGCACAGCCCTGCTGCAGGCAGTGGGACCTTGGCATCTGAGGTGGCCTGATGGATCAGGCTCCGATTACAAGGAATTAAAATGGGTGGTCACGAAACACCCCGGGAAACCCCTGGTGCGGCCGCAGAAGGTGGGGAGAGGTGGAGGCGCGGAGCTGCCCCGGCGCGCCTGGGCTCCCCCGCAGCCCCGGCCCGGGCGCAGGGCTGGGATTTAGCACGTTTGGGCTCTCGGCGTTTGCACTGCTCCCTTTTCCCTACCTTCTCAGTGAAGATGAAGGGGACAGGTTTTTTTGGTATTGAATGAGCAGTTCAGGGATGAACCAGCTCCCGGGAGAGGGTGCGTGCGTGCGAGTGCTGCGATTCGGCTCTCTGCAGGTCCTCTCCTTCCTTTCCTCTCCCGCGCTCCCCGTTTTTAGGCTAGAAGTGCCGTGAGGCTCCTTCCTTGCTGGCCTCCGAGCGCCGCGGAGACGCGAAGCGGCTGTGATGGTAGGCTGCTCCTACTGGAGCCTGCTCGGGGTGATCAGTCACTTAAAGCAGGCGAGGACGGACGGGCACGAAGCCGAGCGTCCCGCGCCCGGGCTGGCAGGCGCCCCGGGAAGAGGCGCGCTCTCCGCGCCGGCGGCGAGGCTTGTCGCCGCGCGGA